GTTTACTTTCTGTAATCCCCGAGTCTGTCTGGAGCTCAGGTTATTCAGTAAACTTCAGTAACTGAGTTGAGATCGTATACTGAGCAAAATAAGGATAAAGGAAGGACTCAAAGGCCGGCCTTCCCATCTGAACTTGCCTACTTAATGGCTGAATAGCCTTGGACAAATCACCTAATTCCTCTGGTCCTCTGTGTTCTCCTCCCGACTTGGAATTGATGGTTTCAGTAAGGCTTGTAGGAGGAAGAGGTAACTCAACATCAAAGGGGCAGACAGCTATAAGGGCATCTTCTACTCTTAACGGCCATGTAATTTTTGTAGATAGGGATCTTTAGTCTTCCTCACTTGATGAAACCAATTTAGTGACAAGCTATCACAGTTTCAAAGAGCCACCGATAGAATTTGGATGGGCCTGGCCACGGTGGCTCAGTGGCTGAGCGTTGACCCATGCACCAAGAGGTTGCGGGTTCAATCCCGGTCACAAGAGGCAGCCAATCGATGTTCTCTCTCATCGATATTTCTGTCTCTTTCTTCCCTTCCTCTCTCTCTAAAATCAATTTAAAATAAAAGAATTTGTATGGGAGCAGTTCTTCCATAGCCAAATTTTATCCAGTAGACAATTCTTTTGTTTTTTATAGTGGAACAATTCAGTGACGAACTATGGTATTGTCCTGTGGGCAATTCGCAGGGTTGAGGAAGAGTAAATTCTTGGTAACAACCATGACAGTGCCTTGGGTCGAAGACTCCATCAAAACCCAGCATTCGGAAGTGTGTACATCCCAGTGCACGTATGAAAAACAATTGCCTGTCTGACAGGTGGGCTCCTTCTCCGTGGGGATGATCTACAATTGATAGGATTTTAATTGTTCAATTAAATCAGCTATAGCTGTTTCTATTGAGAGCAAGCCTGGTTCCTCTGCTTTTCAGAATGAATAAAGAGGTGGCTAAGCAGAGGTAGTAGATACATTGCTTTAGGCCAGTTAGCTGTGGATTTATCTTTGCACAAGATACTGACTGCCTGTGACTTGTACCCAACTCACAAGGAAAATACATAAATGTAGATGCAGGAGACTGCAAAAAATATTTACATGAATGTCCACTTCAATGCCTTGTACATACTGAGTAAAATACATGGCTGTTCATCTGAACGAATGAGCAGATGAATTCATGGACTGAAAAAGAGGCGACTCTTGATCCCTAAATTAGCACATAGTGGAGGCAAGATGCTCCTTGTGGGGGTGCTGGGAAGGGGTTCCTGTTGTGTCCAATAGTCAAACAAAACTGAAATAGTGTAGTTTTTAAAAGAATGAAGTCTTCTTATTTAAAGGACTTAAGAAGATTTAATGATATAAATATGGGTAGTATAAAATAAGAATGGCTCATATTTATACCACAAATATGTTTTGAATATCTCTGTGTGCTAGGCATTATTTTAATCTCTGGAATACAGTGGTTGCCCTTGACCTACTGTTTGGGACTTTAGTGAGAGACAGTGACTTACTATTTTTTTTTTTTATCTTCACCCGAGGACTTGAGGACTTTTTAAAAATATTTTGTTCAGATAGAGTGGGAGGGGGAGAGAGAGAGAGAGAAACATCGATGTGAAAGGGACACATCGAGTAGTTGCCACTTGCACAACCCAACCAGGGCCGGGGACAAACTGCAACTGAGGTACGTGCCCTTAGCGGGAACTGAACCCAGGTCTCTCGGGACCACAGGCCGACTCTCTGACTGCTGAGCAAAACCGGCCAGGGCAGTGACTTACTATTAAAAGCATAATATGAACCAAGGTAAAGAGATTGAAGGAAAACCCTGCAATTCTGTAGAAACATCTGACAGAACCTGGAAGAAGGCCCCTCTGAGGAAGTGATACTTGAGCTTGGATATGAAGGAAAACTAGAAGTCTTCCAGTTAGAGAGTGAAGACAGGTGCAAAGGCCCTGGGGCAGGAGGAGGAGATATGTCTGAGGAACTTAAGGAAGGCCAGAACCTTGGAGTACAGAGGGTGAGGGGAGGTAAATTGGCCGTTGCTATAGTTATTTGTACATATTTTCTGAAAGCTCGTATTCCTGAAGAGGATACTGGGTGTAGATACAAATGAGAATGTGAACTTTCAGGTGGTGAAAGCTGAATAAAATAGGCATTTGGGGGTTGCCCTCGTCTGTTGTAAAACGACCAGATCACAACCCAGAGAATGCTCAAAGGAAACCTCAGCCAGGCTCTTAGGGTGGAAGGACGTGGACTGGCCCCAGAGCAGTCATGACACTGACTGTGTCTGGAAGCGGGGGCCTGTGAGGAAGGGCAATGTGACTAGGGACCAGAGAGATTTGAATTTTATATAAAAATTTTAAAAAAAGTCTAGCCATGGCCAGTGGGGCTCAGTTGGTTGGACGTCGTCCCGTGCACCAAGAGGGGTTGCTAGTTTGATTCCTGGTCAGGGCACATGTCCGGGTTGCAAGCTCGATGCCCAGTAGGGGGTGTGTAGGAGGCAGCCAGTTGATGTTTTGCTATCACGATGATGTTTCTCTCTCTCCCTCTCCCTTCCTTTCTCTCTAAATGCCCATTTAAAATGTCTTAAAAAATAATGATAATCTAAGATAAATAAAATGTTTAAATTGGCTTATTATAGCACTGGGTACCTTTGTATTATTTTATTCATTTCTTTTTTACATGTTTGCAAGTGTTCTTTAACTAGAAAGAAGGAAGGGTGGGAATTGGGGGGCGGGGACAGAAAGAGAGGCCTGCAGAGGCCTAAGGGTGAGGGTCTTGTTCTCAGCCGCCCATGAGCTTGGGCAGATCCCGTCTCTGCTCCTCGGGTTTCTTATCAAGCATGAGATTTTTGAAGAGCATGGTCTTGATGAGCCCTTCCAGCTCTAAACACTCTGTGGTTCGAATGTCTAGAAACAACTGATGACTGAATACTTCTGCGTGGGAAGCCAGTGCCGCATGCCTGCTGATTCCCAAGTCTGTACGAGTGAGAGATCCAGCCTCTCTTGGCACAGTCACCCTCTTTTAAGGAGCCCGTGTCTTGAAATCACTTGCTAAGGGACATTTGTGAAAGCCCTGAGCCCACAGTATGATCACAGCCACCCTGGCCAGATTTGGGACCCTGGAACCACCTAGAAACCTGTGCCTTTGTGTCGCCATTCGTCACGGTCGTCCTGAGTGGCTTCTGTAGGGGTTTGCAGAGCCCTTGGAAGGGCGGTGCATACGTGCTCCCCCCGCCCCCCCGCAAACTTCAGGTTAGACAGACGGTAACGAAGAGGAAACCACACACGCAGACAGATCAGATGATAACCGCGTTGGTGAACCCATATACTGTGCATAATTGTCATTAACTGCACACACACATTTACTTGTTTAATGACTTTCATTTTTAGATGTTTTTATGTGTTAAAATTAGTATTTGTGTCTTAGATTGAAGCTACTTGATGGAAACAAATGGCGCTATGAATTCGGGGCTTTCGTGTTTGGCCACGGTCCAGGATGGCATCCTGTTCTGTGGGGGCTTTGTAAAGTGCTGTGTGGCGGTGACAACAGCGTGATGGCCATAGCCTCAGTCCCCTGGTTGTTCAGCGGCCCCCCTGGCCTGCCTTCCCTCCAGGAGAGTGGCCGCTAGTGGAGGAGAGCCCACAGCAAGAGCAGGGAGATGCAGCTCTGGGGGGGGGGTGACCGGTCCCCCCGGCAGCGCCCTTGCTGAATGTCAGGGACGCTCCAGGCATCCGCCGCCTTTGCCGCCTCCACTCTGATTTCTCTTATGTGGGTCGGGTTTCCTTACGGTGCGTTGGATGAATGAGAGTAAGAAAGTATGTGTTGGCAGAATTTCAGCTGAGTAAAGCCAAGACTCTCCAAATAAGAGCACGACTTGAAGCAGAGCAAAGTTTCAAGTCAGCGGGGGCTCAGAGTGATGGCGATTCTGCTAGTCATGAAAGGTACAAATGTTTCTATGTCCAAAAGGTTGACAAATGGGACTCTTTCGCTGGCCTGCTGGCCGGCTCCGTCGCAAAGCGGAAAATGTTCCCGACTTTGCCTTATTACATTTGCATTTTCTAGGCAATTAGAAGCAGTGTCCACTCTGCGTTTAAGAACGTCCAGCTGGCTAGAGGCTTTTTCCCCCCTAAACTAGTTTCCTTTTGTCTTTTAAAAAAAAACAACAATTTTGCTTTTTGCAAGTAGACCCATGTTTCAAAGTAACAGGTTTTCGAAATAACACATTAGATTTGCCTGCATAATTATTACATTTGTCATGGGATTAGCACTTTCCCAAAGTATATTTCTACAGCAGCTTCTCATTTTGCCCAGAAGTACGGCTCTTCATAGCATATTATGTGGATTTAGGCAAAACGGACCCAGCCCCATCAACTAGAACTTCCGTTAGAAAGGCAATTATTGCAAATAAAATGGAAACCATTTATCTTAATGAGCCAGTAGGAAAATTAAGTCTATTGAAATTGTCTAAACCCTCCCCATAAACCCCATTGGTAATTCATGGTGGCTATGTCTAGTTTTATGAGCTTTTCTAAGTCATCTGTGTGCTGACTGCCTACAGCAAACAACAAATAATGGTCTGTTCAATTCCTTATGTTCATCGTGAGCAGGTTTGCGTCTCCCTTAATAAAATGATACGTCTGCCCCACTCGTCCATTGGAGAGCATTTGGGCCATTCCTGGTAGGACACTAGCTGGCGTTGTGACTGGTCTGGTCTTGGCTACAATCAGTGTGGATAATGGTTCATGCTTTCCCCTCTAAATGGAGGGGAGACACGGACATAATTGAAACTTACAATGTCAGGGGGTGATTTTAGTCCATTATTTTTAATGCAAGTGAGGAGACATCCTAGCTAAAATGCTGAGAAATAGCCTTAGAGGAGCCCTAAGCGTGGTCTGTGCTGTGGAACGGGAATGTGCCCCCTCCCAGCCCCCCCTCCGGAGAGATGCTGTCAGTGGTGGTCAGGACATGCACTGAGCCACAGGTAATGAGCTCAGTATCCATTTGCCTCCTCAGATCTCCCAGCTGGTGACAGAGACTGGCCGGGAGGGCCTGTCAGAAGCCGCGCTGAATCGCTACAATGCCGACAAGCCGTCAGCCTCCAGCGCCCCGGCCTCACAGGGCTCCTGCGCGGCCCCCGAGCCGTCCCTGGGCACCTCGGTGGCCGCATCCTTCTTCGCAAGGTAAGGGAGGCTTCGAGGCCCTCGGTTCTTTCCGATCAGCCTGTCTGGGGAGCCTCTCCGTGGGCCAGTTGGGCTAAAGCACTAGGAGGAGCCCTGGCCGGTGCGGCTCAGTGGGTTGGGTGTCATCCCAGGCGCCGAAAGGTTGTCAGTTCGATTCCCGGTCAGGGCACATGCCTGGGTTGTGGACCGGATCCCCTGCAAGGAGTGCACAGGAGGCAGCCGGTCGATGTTTCACTCTCACATTGATGTTTCTCTGTCTCTCCCCCTTCCTCTCTCTCTAAAAATCAGTAAAAAAATATTAAAAAAACAAAACAAAAACACACAAAACACTAGGAAGAGTTTGGGGCCCTTCTTTGCCTTCACTCTTAAGACGGGGTGTCTCAACCTCAGCATTATTGACACCTCGGGCCAGACCATTCTCGGCTGTGGGGACTGCCCTGTGCATCATTGGGTGTTTGGCCGCATCCCTGGCCCCTACTCCCTGGATTCCTGTAGCACCTGCTCCAGTTGCAACAACACAGTGTCTCCAGACATGGCAAGTGTCCCCTGGGTTGTTGAGAGGCGCTTTCTGAGAATACGTGGCTGTAAAGATGGTCCTCCATGAGGCGAGACCTTTGTGGGTGCAGCTCTGTGGCCGGTGCTTCCAGACTTATCTTCTCATCACAGAATGTGCTGCTTAAACATTAACCATTATATAGACGGCAATTTTCTTCCTTCTTGACAGGCTAGCTGGATACTTATCAAATGCTCTCCAGCTAATCTTAGGAACTTTAAAAACATGAGGAACAAAAAAGAAAGGTATTTCAGCAATGTTTTCTGCCTAATTTTAGCAGCATGGCGGAGACAGGGCACAGACGGGGGACAGCTGAGAAGGAGAACATGGCAGGGTCGTCTGAACTCGGTCCCGGGATTTTATGAATGGGGAAACTGAGGACCAGAGAGATGAATGTATGAGCTCATTTACAGCCGAGCCAGAAACAGAAACCACATTCCTCTGCTTTTTTTTTTTTTCCCCTCTGTGACTCATTCTTTATTTGATACTTGGAACTTAACCTTAGAAAACGTTTTCTGCCTCAGATTTGTAAGCTTCTGATGTTGAAGTGAATATGAAATCAGAAGGCCCCGGGGTTCTAGTTCCAGGTCTGCCTCAGTTCCCTCATCTCTAAAGTGAGGGCCACACCTCCTCCTCAGGGTTGCTCTGAGGCTAAGATAAGATGAATGTAAATTATAAAGTACTGAACAACTGTTAACGCTATGGACTGAGCTCGTACGTCAGGAAGAGGAACGTGTAAGGCTTTCTCGTTCCCCTCCGAATGGAAACGTCGGAAGCACAAATGTGAGGAAGGGCTCAGGTCAGGAGAGGAGCAGGCAAGAGCGGGGCGGAGAGCTAACCCTGGGTCCAGGCCCAGTTCGGGCAGCGCCTGGGCTTGCTGGAGACTGGCTTCGAGGTTCTGCTGTACCTTGGTGGCAGGTTTATTGTCCTGGAGCCACGGGGCCAACTGGAACGGATGGGAAGTAATAGGAAACCCATGTGTGCCAGCCACCGCCATGGGCGTCATGCTCGCTCCTGTGTCGTCCAGGAGGTCATGTCTGTTCCATCCAGGGCAGGAATAAAGAGATGGAGCAGAAGTGAGGGGGCGCCCCGCTCAGAAGACCCCAGGATCTGGGTAGGTTATCAGAGCCTGTCCAGAGAGGAGGTGACAGAAGCGTTGAGGAGCTTGGGAACCACCTCGTGGCAGGTTTAGTCTGGAGGAGGGAGCCCTCAGCAGCCTCCTGGAGCAGGTAAAAGGGATTTGGTTGGTTGTGTAGATCATCCAACTGTGTGGGCAAAGGCTGAATAAAACCTAGCAATGGGAGAGACAGCTCTTAATCAGAATGAAGGAGAACTTGCTCCCAATGCCAATGCCCCAGGAGAGTGAGGTCCCCATCATGAGGGGAGATCAAGCTGGCATTGGATGACTACCTGGCCTTGTTGCTGGAGAGAACATTCAGTGCTTAGATGGGCCTTGATCTCCAGTGCACCTTCCTAACCTGAAACACTGAATGTGAAAAGCCTTCAGCTCAGAGTTCATCCACAGACGTTTTTACATGTCGACTGACAAAAATAACCCCGAAGAAAGATTTGAAGCAGGAAGAAGAGGTTAAGACTCCTGATGGACAGTGTTCAGGGAGAATAAGTATTTCCTGCCACAGGAAGACCAGCAGCGTCTTTAGCGCCAAGGAATCCGTGGAAATGAGATCGTCTGGGAACGTCTGCGTGCTGGACAGATGTGTGCTTGGGGCCAGATGTCACGCCAACCGGAGGAGGACTCACAGTCAGGCAAACGCACGGCGGACGGAACAGCAGGCGACTGGCAAAGCCGGTCTCCTCTGAGACTCGATTGTGCAGCCAAGGGGCGAATGGAAACACTGAGGTGAACCCCAAATGGCTGGGCCGATGACATCAGCTGGGGGAGGCCCTGCGGATGATGTTAGCGATAAACAAAGACCGCAACTTGATTTAGAAGTTCAGGAGCTGGTGGTGGGAGCTTCCAAAGAGCTGGAAAGGATCCCAGGGCACCGGAATCATTGGTTCATTGTGGTGAGTGCTGAGAGCCCCGGCCCTTTGCAGCGCAAGGTATTAAAAGTGCATGGTTTGTGTTTAAAGGGCTTACAGTGTATTGGGGGGGAGGGGCAGTACCATGTGAAAAAGAATAATTCTTCATTTCCATATACAAACATATACAGGGTGGGGCAAAAGTAGGTTTGAAGTTGTGAGTATGTGAATCAGAGTTTATTCTTTTATTGCTATTTATTAGTCATTGCATCGTTTTCCATCTGAGCGTTTGCTGTGAACCTACTTTCGCCCGCCCTGTGTGTAACCGGTACTCACCCACACCCAGCCCGCCGGCTCTCACCGCCCAAGAGGAGCAGCCTTCCGATAGCCTCCCCGCCGCTGCCGGAGCCTGAGCAGAAGATGAAGAATCTTGCTCAAGGTCCACAGTGTCAACAGACAGAAGCAGGGTGCAGCTTGCCTCTTTGGGTCCCCCCAGGTCCGCAGGACAAGTCAAAACCAGCCCGACTCATGTGGTCAGTCAGGAAGCTGAGCTGCGTGTCCAGGGCGTTTGTGCTCAGCCAGAGCCAAGCCGTGCACGGCAGCCTTGGATGCAGATGGGTCTGGACCCACCGCTGCTGCCCAAATCGGAAACGCTTTAGAGATTTGGGTTTGATACCCAGGAACGGGGGTGTCCTTCCGCATCGCATGTGGTGGCAGAGTCAGCTCCTGTGCCTCAAACCCGTGCTGTCCACTTTCCAAGTCTTCCTGCCTGACCGAGCGCTGGAAACGCAACTCTCTGAGTCTGCAGGGCCCAGGACCCCCTGCAGCTCCAACTGAGGCCACAGTGCCCGGCTCACAGGACGGTGTGCCGGGCACCATTTCGCTCCTGCGGGAGTGACACCATTTGCCAAATTTGTGGCCAACGTGACTGACACTTACTGAACACTCGGCATGCATCACTTAGGGTGCTAAGCTCTTCATAGGCAAAATCTCCCCATATCCTGCGAGGCAGGTCCTATCACTTCCCTTGTTGGGCAGGTAAAGAAAGACGGGTCTGGAGGTTGTGACTGGCCCAGGGTGGCACAGCCAGGAGGTGGCGGGCCCTTGGGGGGATGAAAACGAGCAGCCCCTGCAATGTGTTTGGGAAGAGAACAGCAACGACAACCAAACCCCAATTTTTGAGGCTGGTCGCTGTCCACTTTCCTCGGTGATAGGAGCCTTCCTTTTTCCGTGTTTGCTCTGCAGAACTGGGGGTAGATGTCGGGGTGGACCCGGTTGCGTTTCTGAGATCCAACATCTACAAAATAAGAATTCCAGTTCTGAAAAAGCAGTGAGACATTGGCCAGGGCTACTCCAAGTGTGGTCTGTGGATGGCGGTGACCGGTCTGTGACAAGTGTGGAAATTGGGGGGAGGCATTTAGAAACTTCTGGAGCAAGTTGACAGTAATATTATATCTATGCAATCCAAGAATTAAACAGTGGGGCTTATGTTTTAAATATAATTAGAAATAAAAAATGAGTGGTTCTTTGTTGCGGACAGTTTGAGAAGCCCTGCTTCAGGAAAGGGTGGAGTCCAAAGCATCGGTCCCTTGATGCCTCTTTTGCCAGAATTTATTTCTTTAACTATCAGGATTTTGCTTAAGAATTTCTGTACCCAGGTTTTGGAAAAGCACTCTTTTGGGGGAAAATATAGTAAACCTGGTATAGTAAAAGTAACACTAAGAATATTAACAGTAATCCAACAAATGTATCAGCACACTCGATCAGCAAGTTGGTGAACAATCGTGTTGGCTTTGAACTCTCCAAATGAGGGGATCCTCATGTGACTCCCATGTTAACATGAAGTAGGGTGTGAGTCAATGTTCCCATTTGCTGACTGTTAACTTTGGATAAAGATTTCCTTCATTATATACTTAGTCTTAAAGATACAAAGTGCATGGAACTTTGGGGTGAACCCTCGGCATTGTAGGTCAAGGCAGTGGGGACCTCATTTTTATTTGCAGAGCAACGAACACATTCTGGACTCTGCATAGAATTGCCTTGACCCCTGGTGGAGAAAACGGCTTTTTTCAGATGACCCACCTCTTCCCATTGATGTTCTTTCTCAAAGAACCATTTACAATTGTGGTGTTGTTGTTTTATTCAAAGAGAAAGTGAGCCTCCGGAGGATTTTAATCTACGGGGTTTGGAGAGTTAGTGCGAGCTGCCAGCTGTCTCGTGCCTTTTCAGAGACACGTTCACGCGTGGCAGAGCCGTGGCTGCCCTCACAGTGGGCTCACGAGCAGGTGTGCTCGGTCCAGTGTGCACACGTCACTTCTTAGTGGAATACTTTTTGCTTACAACTGGTATGTGTAGGTCACAACCTTTGTAAGACCTTTGCTTTTTATTAAATTCCTGTCCAATTTTCAAGTAAAATTATTTAAGGGCATTTTTCGATGACTTTTTAAAGTTTCCTATATTCTTA